AAAGAAAAATGGCGAAAAAAAGGTATGGTGAGCCGATATCGATGGATATTCCTCCCGTGGGATCGAAACCCTTTCTCGATCGCTGTGGAAACCGTGTGAATGAGCGTTCGTTACGGTACTTGATTCTTCAGGCTCATCGAATGTCATGAACCCTGGCCACATTTACATACGGTCATAAGAGTATCCGGCCTCGTCAAGCACATTAACGATCGTGTTCACTCTTTAGTTGTATTGTATACAATGTAACGAAACGGTGTTTCGTGATTTTCGTAGATTTTATGTGAGTTTGGATGTAGGATTTTTTGTTCGCAGATGAAATTCACGAAAATAAATGAAAATTTGTGAATAAGTAGGACATTAAATTCTTATATGGGTTATAAAATTTTAATGGTTACGTTTACTTTTTGTATGCATCGTGTTCAGCGTTACAGAACAGCGTTTTGTAATTTTATTCAATAATTCTCTGGTTGATTTTATAGTTGTTGTTAGAATGCAAGGTTTATTTGTTTATTTGCAAGGAATATTTGTTTAAAATGAGTTTTCATTTGGTTTATATTTTCTCTGGCTTTAGATTGTAACTTCTGTTGAGAGTAGAGCGCTAAGTCTGCTGCAGAACTTCGTTAGCCTCTTATTAAGACACACTGTATACAGCTGCCGGAGTCGCTAATTATAGTAAAGCATCAGTCGTCCCAACTTCTTGGTCCTTTTTGCCTCTATTTTCAAACTTTTATATCAACACTTAAAATCGTTCGCTTAATTAAACCTTTCAGCACAGAGCGGCAACTGCCACGGAGCACGATAAATACAGTTGACTCTTGAATAACTGTGGTTTAGGGCGGCGATTCATCTGTAATTGAAATTATCCTATCTAAAAAAAACTTCGATTTTTCGAAATTTTAACGAGTCTAACTTGTTTTGTACTTTTTAATTAAAGTTGAAATACTTTCTTTATTTTTGACGACTTTAGAAACAGTGTATCTTACTTTTGTTCACTGTTTTTTAAATCTTTACAACAGTTTGCATCTGAACATTCGAAAATATCAATTAGGCCCACTAAACTAGGAACTTAAAAATAATAGAGAAATTTGTAATAGACGCATTATCTTCTTTAAGACATTCTCCAAAATCATTTTCCACGATAAACGTCTCAATAAATTCCACAATTAACACACAAACAATAATCATACCTGAAAACTTGATTCTTCGCAAAGTTTATTATCCCGAACCGTAAGACCCGCGAAGAAAAACATTTTTAAGCGTAGAAAGAACTCAATGGACTACAAGTATTGCCTAGCGAATTTTCAAAATCCCAAAAGGAAAAAATTATTAAATTCTCGGACAGTGCAATTAATGTCTAATAAATGTCACATGTACTTTCATTGCGAGTCATAAGAGAACAAAAGCAAGTGAAATAAACTGATGCAAAACAAGCGCGCAATCAGCTGGGAAATGAAATGAAAACATTCCCGTATAACTAGACCCGTATTATTCAAGGATCAACTGCACGCGAAGCGCGAATCATACACGAGCGAACGAATATCGAAGTTTTGTGCTCGTTCTTGCAGACAACGAAACAGGAAGGAGGGTAACGGAAAGAGCGACCGGGTAGAGGAAAGAAGTGGAGTATGAGGGCCCCGGAGGAAAAACGCAAGGCACGTTCACAGCTCGGCGAAGCGGTTAATGATTGGGAGTCACCGAACACAGCTGGCCACGTTCCTGTCGCCTGCAGCTGGAGATGAGTACGAACGAGGTGAACTCGTCGACGACGACGACGTTGACGTCTTTGGCGCTGTCGTCGTCGCCGATACTGGACGCCGCGGCCGAAGACGAGGAGGAGCCACCGACCTTGGGCGAATCCGGCGGCATGGATCTGGTGAACGGGCCCAATCCGTGGCTTCCGGCGTACGGCTTCCAGCTGCAACATCATTCCCATTTTCAACCCACGCACGAGGATTTACGGGCTAATGGTTTGTACTGTTACCATTTCACTTTCTCTTCCTAGTTAACAATGCACGGCCGTGCACTGTGACGAATCCACCAGCGATCGCTAGTTTAGCTTATTAACAGGTTGACTGCCACGAGAATTTTTAGCGTTTTGTGTATGTAGGTATTGTCTGTTTAATATTTCATAGGATAGGTAAACGGTAATAGAAATTATTAATGGTTTGGCGTCATTGTTCTTTAATTACACTGTTATGTAATTACTTTTGTTATTGGATATTTTCATTCGATGTCCTTTTATTGCAATTGCTTTCAAACAATTTGGAAACGCTGGTTATCGATTATCGTTATGGCAGTCAATGTGTTAGCCTCTTGTTTCATAGCTTCAATCAGAACTCGGGATGAAGGTTTGAATTTAATTTGACTGACATTTATATTGTTCCCTTTGCAGTCTATTATTGTTATTGGGAAATTCTTTTTACGTTCTAATATCATACTAATACAAAAATTTTCTTTGTTCACACGCACTAAGTGAGGAGATATTTTCAATCACAAGTAATTTTCCGAGCAATGAATAAATTGAATTTAAAATTGAAACTGTAGAAGCTTTGATTTATATAGATATATGAGTAGCGGAGATTAATAGCTTCCAGTTTTGTAATTTTCTGGAAAATAATGCACAGGAATTTCATTTAATTGGAATTTTTTGTGCCACACGTAGCGGTATCCACATATTTAGACTAATACATAATTTGTTTTGATAATGTCATTAATTTTATTCGAAATTTATGTATTGCATGCATATTTTCATTTTTTAAATAAAGTTGCAAAGCAATTTTATACATTGTTTGTAATGCGCTTTTTAAATTTTGTAAATTTCAGCATTTTCTATACGATTGCATGATTCTTTTAAAGGAACATAGAATTTTCCTTTTATTTTTATGTTAGTAAAACTTCGTTAACGATATATTAAAAATTTGAGTCATCTTTTGCAAAATAATTCGTAAAAATTCGTATGAAATACGGAGAAAAATGTTAAATAAATGATTTGTAGTCTCTTTTTCGCAATTGTGGATAAAGTAGTGAATAACGCATAGCATACGAGATGGCACGCATTCTAGGTTTCTATATTAGAAATTGTATCACGCTTTCATCATCTCTGACTGCTCTGCATCTTCAGTAAGAATATTCGAAAAAAGTGCGATACATTATCGTAATATATGCCGATTTCTCGAGTTCTATTTCACCGTAAGACAGACTTACTTCATAGAGATGAATCGTCTGAGTCACGAACCAAGAATATTCTTCTATCGTTATATCATAATTTTCTGTTTTGTTCCGCTTGAATCAATTAGAGATATTGAAACCAAATATAACCGCACGCTCCTCGTGAACAGATAAAATAGTTAATGTGTGAACTTTGTGACGACTTCTTTTGTTCATTACCTACTAATAAAATGTTTCTAATAAAAACTATTTAAAATTAAATATTTAAAAAAGAAATTACACAATCCGCCTCGAATAATATTTTAACATTCGCACACATAAGTTTGCATAGAAAGAACCAAAAATGAGATAGATAAAATTGATAGTAAGTATATCTAACCTTTTTCAAGTAAAAAGAACATATAGTCAGCAAAAATTTAACGTTCAATAACTTTTAATTTTCAATGCCCGTTAAGATTATAAATATCAAACACTGATTTATGATGTTGCATAAAAATTGCAAGAGAACTTCTATTGATATTTTATTTATTCAATAAATTTCTATAGAAGCACGTTTGCAATTTTAATAATCGTACAAGAAGAAGTCATGAGTAGATTTTGGTCCATCTCGTATTTTTATAGTATTGAAATACGAATGGGTGGTTCAAGTAACAAAATAACAGAATCGATTGTAGTGTTACAACGAATTACAGAATTCATTTGCTGCAGTGTCACCGAGAGTCCTTCTGTTAATCTACACACTACATATTGTCGGAAATTTGTATCATTACCGTAATTTCCATCGGATAGAAAATGACGCGGGTTTTGCATACAGATCGCTTGTTAACAACCAGACTTAATCTGGACTACTTTCTAGAACCGTGGGCGAGCGTGTGAGAGTTAATGAAAAGCTATAACCTGACGCAGGCTAGCGGGGCGCCGGTCATGCGATTTCCATTAGCGTGGAAGACGCGCTAAGTTCGTCGATATGTCGCCATGTTAAGATTTCCGCAAACTTTCTTTCAAATCTGGAATGCGGTTTGTCGGTACAAATTTCCACATGACTAAGCAATTATAAACTTACATTATCTGTTATTACTATTTTCTGTTGTTCAGTTGACCGAGTTTCAGTTAGAAACCATTTTACACGCATCAGTACATTAAAATATGTTGTTTTATGATTAATTAGGCTATTTATAGAGAACTGAATGGACATTTTTATACTCTAAACTGTAGAGTCTAAAGCAATCAATATCTTTGTTTCTAATTAGTTCGCAATTATTAATTCGCAAATTAATTTAAATCCTCGAATTTATTTCTACATAAAGTAAAGCTAGACTGGCGATAATTATAGAATTTTTTTTACACAAGCTGTGTTTTTACCAATTGATATTTATGTAAACTGTGCTTATTGATTTCGATGACGGTTTATTTAAAAAAAGATGCCTAGGTATTGTTAGATTCCGACTGTAATAAATTCAATTTTTCTTAGATGTCGATTTAGTATTTATAAGTACGATCAATACTTCGAAATGGAACTAATATAAGCATTGCCAATCTATCCCTTCATTTTATGGAATGAGGAAATTATCAGTTCTTATTTCGTATTTTTGTTATAACTTTATTATAACGTTTATTGTTAAATGTTATAATGTTTATTCGATATTTCCTTCTTGTTTTCATGGATACAATATGCTGGTAATTTGTTATTCCGTATAGTAATTTCAACAAATACCGGAGAAAAATATGTTTCCTGAACGAATAACATAAAATCATGTACAAGAAGCACTGAGTAAATTATTCATAATAACGGCGGAGGTATTTTTTACCACGTAAGAAGAATACTGCTTATAAAAAGTACCGCGCAAGTGGATGAACAGATCTAAGGTGGGCGGATTCACAGGAATATTCAGAATCTTCCTCATCAGTATCATAGATGGTCAATATCTTTATCCAAATAATGGTTTCAAAGAATGAGAAACAATTATTCAAAACATCTGGTTATTGTTTATTAAATTTAGAGATGAATTCAAATTATACAATATATTTTTTACCACAATAAATCTGTAGTTTATTCAGGGTTTTATCGTGTTCTGAAAAATATAAGTACCTCATTAAATATTCTTAGAAAATTTATTATAACGAGAATTAGAGAATCCTGTATGCAATAAATGCATAAAATTCACGTCAAGTGCTGAACATTTTTAAATAAAATTTGATTAAACTGCTTTATCCTTTTTTTATCTCCTGTTTCAAATGAAACAATTATTTCAATTATGATTAATGGGACTTCATTGTGCTAATGACTTATTAAATCTAAGACAAAAGAGACAATTTTCTGATAAAATCTTTTCTCTACCAAATAAACATATAAAATGGAGTAATCTAAATTGGTCTATTAAAATTTGCAGCCTTTTAGTTATCGATACGTTTCTTCCCTAAGTTCGAAAACTATAAATGTGCACTTAATTTCTTCAACTGCGCAGGATTAATGCGATCAGAGCAATGTTATGCAGGCTGGATAGATCAGCGATTATTTTTGTGCAAGTCGATGGATTATTCACGTCCGCCGGTTGCGGAACGAAACGGCAACAGGCGAATGCAACAGGTGGTTTTATTCCGTGATGTTGCATCGCGGTGCGTGCCTTTGCATTTGTGCAAGGCAAATTGCGTTCCTGGAGGACGATTTGTTCTCACAATCGTCATTAAGT